ATACCATCCTCATCGGGTTCCGTCCATTTTAGCTGAAAATTAAAAAAAGTCGTTAGTTTTTTTACTGCAAAGTAATCGACATTATTGGTGTGAATTCGAACCTCAACAGTTGAAGGATCTATGACATCCGGCTCAACAAAAAGACGAACAGCCTCCTTGTAGACCCAACCCTCCGGGGGCTGAAACTTCTTCGTATCTATGTGTTCCAGGATGGAATCGAGCGATTTATAGCGCTGAACCAGCTCCACAGATTTCTTCGGCCCGATACCTTTGATGCTTTCGCAATAGTCGCAACCAAGCATTACGCAGAGATTTATGAACTGGTCCATTGTTAGATCCATTGAATTTAGAATTTTTTGAAGATTGAACTCCTGAATTGGCATTTTACTGGAAATACCAACGGGATATAGTTTTAATTTCCAGGCTTATGCAAAAGTATCACTATAAAGTCCTAATCAATAAGCCACAAAACACTTCCAAGCTGAAGGTTCAAACATACCGGGCCTCGCTGAAAGTGAGATGACGAAGCAGAACAGGTGCACCAAAGGCCAGAGCATCCATGTCCTCTGTACCGACTGCAAAGACTTTCCCAGACTTTGCTAATGCTGCGCATTGAGCCTCTGCCTCACCAGGTGCCTAGAAATTTCAGAGCCGTGTACGCGGATCTCCATTATGAGAAAAAATAATATATCACAGGCAAAATATAGCGTTCTTACCTCAACAAAAGGAACTCCCATAAGTCGGAGGAGTGTTTTACAATCTTCACTATGCTGAGCAGTAATTTTGACCAAACGTCTTGAGTACTTTTCTATTCCTGCTATGTCACCGATCTCCTTTGCTTTGCCCAACTCCTTGGCGCTCTCCTCTCGACGCTCTGTACGTTTTGATAACTCTCCAGATTTAAGACTCGGCGGCTTTCCTTCAAACACGTAAACTGGTTTGAGACCGCTTTCAAGCATACGGATTGTGCGATAAAACATCCCCACGAGATGACTATAGGACGATAAAATGGATATATACTACTAATTCACTTTGCGAGTCGTATGAATGAGGAAGTGACGTTAGAGGCATACCTTGTTGATTCGCCAGCTTCGTTTGCCAAATTGTTGCCATCACTGCGGACAGCAACCAAGAACTGGTAAAGGCAGAGTGAAGCGTCAATGGCTATCCTTCTACCAAAATAAGCTTTAATTTCTCCATTTTTTATGGCTTTTGGAGCATAATCACCAATGACCTTAGTCAGCTGATGTATCCCCATAACAGAGAAGCGGCGCTTTTATTTAGGATTTGGAATTTCACGGGATTTTTGATACATTTAAACTAGATAAATCTTGGTCCAAAAGTATGAAAAAAGGAAGCAATATTTTTAGCACATTTAAAAGCCCGTTTATTGACAGTACGAAAGGTAATTATTTCATAAAATAGGCAGTTTTTATCTATCCAATCTCCGTTGATTTTTACGTCTGTTTAATAAACTATAATCTGCTAACGACTTAATTATTTTTTATAATCACTCAAAAATAAAGGCTGTTATTTTTCTATATTTATTATTGGTCTTTGCTGATTGAGAGCCTTAGAGCTCTTGGCATTGTTTTAATAAGTGTAATATTATTATTTCAAATGAAATTCTGTGCTTCCGTCCTGAGTATTCTAATGTCTCTTGTGGTATCACAAGACTCAGGTTATGAATATATCCTTCTCTAAAAGTCTTGTCTTTAAAA